CTCCCAAAGGGTCAGGAGAGACAGAACCCTGCCTGGAGCTCAGCACAGAGCCAGGGAAGTTTATCTGTATTTACAACAAAGACTGGAGTTTGAAATTCCAGCTGCCTGCACTCCAGAATGCACACAGCACAGGGAAAATTCCAGCAGTTTTCCAGTCCTCACCCTCCAGCACTGACCAGTTCTGCATCCAGCACAACTTCCAGCACAGAGCAGTGCAAGCACCAGCACCCAGCAGCTTCTCCTGAGTCAATAATTCATCCTGCCTGGATGCTGCTGTGATTCATGTGCTGTGATATCACAGCAGCAAATACTTACAGAACATCAAGGTCTGGGTCCCAAAAACGGTAAGGAAAAGATTTGCTTGCAAATGCAGACTTCAAGTATTACAGTGGTTGTTTGTATGCAAACCAGCCCAGCACCCCAGGCTCTCAGGGAAGCTCCATGCTGGCCTCTCCCATGCACAGCTTTGTGCACATGGTTCCCAGGCTGCTTTTGCACAGGATAAAGTTTGCATCTTCACAAAGACTGAAATGCCACTCTTTTTCTTTTTTTTGCCATACTATATATTATCCAGTTATTCCTGAAACCTTGGCCATTACAAGTGAATTCTTCCCCATCTGTAACAGTGGCTTTAATCTGTTGATTTTTTGGACCAAAAATCAACCCCACAGGTTTGAAAGGCTGGCCTCCAGCATAGCATTACCCCAGGTGCTGCAGGGGGAGCCCAAGGCTCCACCTGCAGTGCAGCTGCTCTCAGAGCAGGTCTGGCAGGATGAGACCCGGGGGTTTGGGCTCCACACAGTTGATCCAGAAGTTGGCACAGCTGGCGTGGTACTGGTGCCCTCCATATGCCAGCTTGAAGTTATCTGTCTCTGAATTAAAGGCCTGCAAGAAGAAATGAAACAAGTGTGAGAGTCTGATCCCCTCCAGGGCCTAACCCAGAGTGGGAAACAGCCCAGGACTCTCCCCTGAGCTCCACCCCATCAACTCCATCTGATTTCAGTTGCAGGAGGACAAAAAAACCTTCAGCCATCACACCTGAGCCAAGCTCCACCTGCAGGAGGGAGCCCTGGAGCTAACTCACCTTGTTCTGCATCTCCTGCTTCTGTTCCACCTCCCTACCAAAGGGGAACCTTGCCCTGCTTGCCAGCAGACAGCTCCTGCACTTATTTCCCTGGCTCCAGCCTGGCTGAGGGTCAGGCAGGTGCAATTCTTGCTATTAGTGTTATTTCAGGTTGAATTTCATCTGCTTCCTCCTGTTAATTGAAGCTGCCTTACAACAGGAGCCTCTGTGAAGCCATGAGCAGGCTGAAACCACCTCGCTGTTTGTTGCTAGGAGATATTTTCCAATGCCTCACAGCTCCCTATTTAAAAAAAAAAAATATCCCAGCCCTGCTCTCCACACCCTGGATTTCCTGCAGAGATTTCTAAAAATGCCACAGCCTGCCAGACAAAGGCAAAAGTCAATATTCCTAGCACAAAGGCCCTGAAATCCCCCCTCTCCTGCTAGAGACACCCAGGCAGCACAAAGTGGGGAAGTCAGGGATTTTGTGGCACACAACAGGAGGAGCACAAGCCCAGAGAGCTGGGCACAGGGCACAGCATGCAGACACACGGGGGGAGGCTCTGGGGTGTGTTAGTTGATCAGATCGAGAGTTAACGGCCACAAACACGACTGGAGCAGAGGATTAATGATTGGTACAACTGAAATGACAGCTGAGAGCCCAGCAGCACCTCAGCCTTCCACACTCAGGAAGAATGAGTCTAGAAGGAATGCTTTTTACAGGTTCATACTTTTTTGGGAAGCTCTTCCACAGGTTTCTCTTCTTTCTGAAATAATGTTGAAACCAAAAAGAGTCAGGAAAAGTGCCTGTAGGTTTAACTGGCTGGCACAGCTCTGCACATGTCCTGGGAGGCCCTCCCAGCTCTGCTCCCCTCTGGTGAGCCATCTCATGAAGAAAAGTCATTAAAGGATTTTTATTTGTTAAAAAAAAATATGTATTTTTAAATCTTACTATGGCAGTTTCTTGCCCATTACGAACAATTAAACTCAACCCTTTCTCCACAGCTGTGTCACACCAGAGCCCAAGGAACTCTGGACATTCCTTTATAGGATTTTATTGAGACCCTTCTACTGCTCAGAGTCTACAAATTATAACCAGGAATATTTTTTCAATACACCCATCCCTGAAGGTGCCCAAGGCCAGGCTGGACAGGCTGGGACAGTGGGAAGTGTCCCTGCCCATGGCTCTGGGTGGGTTTTAGGGTCCCTTCCAACCCAAACCACTCTGGGGCTGTACAAACGGAAGCCCAGGCTGTAAATGCAGGATTTCCAGCAGCATACACTCACCTTGCTCCTGGAATCCACGTTCAGCAGACACACCCCACAGGCAAGGTCCTGCGCGTTCTTGATGCCGGGGCGCAGCATGCAGGAGGAGAAATCCAGGGAGTTCTCATCTGGCTAAAGAGAGCACACAGCACCTCTGAGCATTCCCAGTGCCTGGGGAGGTTTCAGACACCACAACAAAAATCAGTGAGCAGCATTAGCCAGGGTGTCACCTGGCCTGACAGGGTGACACCACCAGCAGGGATCTGCCATCCCCACCAGCACCAATTCATAACACTCAAAGCCTTCAAAAAGGCCTCAAGTACAAAGGAAGGAATTCCTGAGCTGCACATTCCCCCTTCCAAAGGGGAAGGAGCCCTGGGAGCTGGGGGAAGGCAAACAGAGGGTCTGCAGGTGTTTGTGCAGCTGTGGGCAGGTGGCTGCAGCAGGGTTCATTGTCCTCGACTCCTGGGATTGCCTCAGCAAAAAAGGGCACCTGGTTTTCTCCTTTTGGGGTTTTTTTTTTTGAACCTACAATATGGCAGAGCAGTACAAAATGGGATATTAAGGTTAACCAAACCATGGAATTGAGGCCAGCAGCCACACACATGCTCAGGGTAAAGACAGCAAAGGGTGGGAGAATAAACCTGAAAATAATAAATTATTGTGGTCACTTTTCCAGTACTTAACTTCACATTTCAGCCACAGGATAAACGATCAATTAAAACACTGCACAAAGATGATATAAAACTGTTCAAATTTTGCATTGAAGATAGCAAATAAAAACAATGATTAGAAATGCAAGAAGCTTTAAAATGGTGTGATCCCAGGCCATGTGTGTCTCAATGCCCACTGTGGGTATGCTGCTCACACTGCCCTGCAGAATGGCTGCAGAGGAACTGCAATCCTGAAAAAAACCCCTTTAATCTCTGAGCAGATCAATCAAATTAATAAAGGCACTCTAATATTTGTTTACCAAATGCATGAGTGAAGCAAATGAGAAGGTCATCCTGCAATTTGCTGTGAAAAACCACAAGGCTGTGCATAAAATTACCTTGTAACAAAATCCCTTAAAAGATAAAATTAACCTTTCCAAGAGCATGCCTGGGAGCTGGAATCCTTCCCTGCAGTTAATTGGCATTTCTGCATCACTCAGGATCCTGTCAGAGCAGAGGTGTGGGTTCCACCCTCCCAATGGGGAAGAGAAGCGGGATCAGGGGGGATCTGGGGGATTTAGGAATCCTGGTTTGTGTAAGCTCAGCTGGACTCTGGTGCAGGTGAGAATTTGCAGCTCCTGTTGTGCTCCAGCTGCAGCCACGAGCCAGGAGCTGCTGTGGCTCAGGGAACACAGGGCCAGGCTCTGGACTTCAGTAATCCCTGTAATCTTCCAAGGAAAAGCACTTCAGCAGCTGTGTTCTAATCCACCTGTTTAAATGAGGACAAGATCCTGGCAGCTCTTGGGATTGTTCCTATCAGCAGAGCCAGAGCTCCAACAGGTGAGTCCAGGTCTGTCAGCCTCCTCTGCCAGGCAGGAAAATGCTGAGGAAACAGAGTTCCTAGGATGGCAGGCCCTGTGCACCACCAAAACACCTGGGGAGGTTTGAAATGTGCAAAAGGAGTGTAAAAAGGGACTGCTCATTTATAAACACCTGCCTTGCAGGGAAGGACAGTGAGCTGGAGATGGGCATTTCAGGCAGAAACCAAGAATTCCAAGCCTTACTGACAAATGGGTGTTTATTGGGAAGGAAAAACCTTTTGTGGGCACAGCTGCAGTGCAGGGAGGAAGCCACAAATGAAGCAGCTCAGAGGAAACCTGCCCATGGTAATGATGTGCTCAGTGATGCTCGGGGGTGTGCTGGCCCTGAAGGCTCCTTGGATGTGCACTGAGTCCAAGGGATCTGGGTCAGTCAATACAAAGCACTCAAAAAGGGGTGATTCCCTAAAATGATGAGGTTTTCCACGGCTAAAGGCAGTGATTTTGGGCATTGCATCTCCTGCAGCACAAACCCCACAAGGTATTTTATTCAATTTGCCTCACTGGAGATGTCCACAGACACCCAGGATATCACCTGAATCACTGAGGTACCAAGTCAGACAACATCATGTCTGTGCATAAATAACACTTCTCTTAGGGGGTTTTAAACTGGCTTTCACAAATATAAGTTAATTTCCATTTTCCAAGACAAGAAACACAAACAGTCAACTCAGCACACCCTGCAAAGCCTCTTTAAATGAAATTATGACATTTGTTTTAGCAACCAGGCAGCTTGTTTGGGCCTTACCGTGAGAGCAGCCAGGGACATGAAGCTGATCAGGTTGTTCCACACTTTATCAATATCCTTCAGCAGCTGCTGCAGCTTCTCACTGCACACTGCAGTGGCTTTGATGCCCAGCTCCACCCTCTTTGTGACTCTGTAGACTTCAACAACCCCTGTGGATGTAAAACAGGGGGGGATTGCAGGGAATGCACTGGAAATGGCAAAACCAGAGAGGCACAGGAGGGGTGGCCAGGGAGGGGCAGCTCAGAGCTGGAGTTTACATTTATTTGGCAGAGCTCCTCATTATTCAGATGCAGGCAAAGATTAGGATTTAAAATAATGCCATGTGGGGAAGAGTGACTCTGTATTCCTGGTTTTTAGGGAAGAAATTTCAGTGTAAAGCACAGGAAAATGAAAACATACCCTGTAAATATTCCATGCCTTGGGCAGACTGGATGACTTCAGTGCACACAGATGAGCTGCTGATTCCATTTAAGGTGTCGTTGGCTTTCTTTATGACCTGGTGGGAATGGATTCCATAAAATGATGGGGTTTCTATCTTTGAATAATCATTACAAACAAGATTACCCCCAGCAGAAGCTGCTCTTCAGAAAAGGAGACAAATTAAACAAGAAATGACTGCCACACTCCATCACATGTTTTATACACTCCTGCTTAAGCAGATCAGGGGAGACTGTGAACATTTAAAACCTTAATGTATTCCCCCAATAGTTTCATTACCAAAATAAGAGTTTTAAGAGCATGCTTGCCTTGCTGTCTAATTTAATAAGAGCATGCACAGTTTGGGCTGTCTAATACTCAACTGCAAAGGAGAAATGTTCAGGAGCACAGATGTGGCTGTGCAATATCCCCCAGCAGCACAGGACTGGGCCCTGGGCACAGCACAGCACCAGCTCTGTCCCTCAGGGAGCCCTGAGGAGCCAGGCTCTGGTATCAGTGCCCAATATTGGGCACCCAAACAGGGGAGCACCCCCTAACCAGAGAGCTGAGATATTCAGGGAGAAGCCAAACTAACCCCCAGCCACAGGGAGAGCAGTGTGGGGGGCTCAGCTGAGGAGGAGGTGGCAGTTTTGGTTTAAAAACTGCAATTCCCAGGGCTGATTGCCACAGTTTCTGCACCACTGAGTGAGGCAGGTCCTGAGGGAGGAGGAGGAGGCACACTCACCTGCAGGGCACTCTCCAGGCACCTCTGCCACTCGTAGGCATACCTCTCACTCTCCTGGAGCAAAGGGAAGCACAGGCTCAGTCTTGTTCCTACACTCATTTCTCTCCCTCTCTCCTACACAGCAGACAGGTATTTCAAAAGACTGTTTGCACATCAGCTGTGTCAACTTTTAACACATCTGTTCCTAATTTCTCCCTATTCTTTCAAAATTCTCTGTGCACCTGAAGTCTAAAATTTGATTCCTGGGAGTGGGAACGAGTTTCAAAAGGAGAATGTATAGGGGTGGGTAAAAGGTTTCATTGCACACAGCTCCTCCTGACACATTTGTTCCAGTCTGCTGTTCTAGCAATGGGGATTAGCAGAATTTAATCTGAGTCCTTTTCCCATCTCCTCTCAGGATGTGCAAGAGAAATAACTGCCACACAGCCAAAAAGCCATTCCCAAAGCAAACGCTCTCTGCCAGAGCTGGGATTAGATTTAAACTGTAACCAATTTCCAGGCATAAGCTTAGGCTGCAAGGTCAAGTGATTCTGTGTTTCAGACAACATTCTGTGTGTGTTTCAGACAACATTCTGTGTGTGTTTCAGACAACATCCTGTGTGTGTTTCAGATAACATTCTGTGTTTTCCCACCTCCTTTAAGGACGTGAGAGAAGAAACCTCCAGGCCGCACTCACAACATCCACCTGCACCCGGACACATCTCACAGTCACACCATCCTCAAACAGGTAAAACCCCAAAAACTGGGACACAGGAGCCCCTCAGGGGTGTCCCAGGCTGCTCCTCACCTCCACCTCCCCCGTGAGGTCCTTGTACTTGTCCCTGATGACGGGCAGGGCTGGCTTCTCGCTCAGCGTGTTGGAGCGGTCCCTGAAGGGCTGCTCCAGGGCTGCCAGGGGCGAGCAGCGGCTGATTTCTCTGTCCCCCAGGCTCAGGCTCCTCTTGTGAGACCCTAAAAAGTCAGGTTGTAAAGTTATTCCTGCCCTCTGAAGACCCAGGCTGTTTAAAATGAATGGAGGGGCAGCAAGGGCTGTCCCGCTCCTGCAGAAGAACAAATATTTCTCTTTACTCAGTGACTGCTGCAGATCTCCCCAAGTCCCTCAATTCTTACAGGTTTTTGGCACAACAAATATTTCCCTTGTAGAAAAAGGCCTGCTCCAAATGCCACGGAAATCAATGAGAAGACTCAGGTCGTTTCCAGCAGCCTTTGGAACAATCCCCATTAGCTGATTTATAATTCAATTAGGAAAATCAGCCTTTGATGAGCCCATGCACCATGAGGTTCCTCCACCACGGGCAGGCTTACCTTGCACAGACAGGTCAAAGGTGGCCAGCTCACTCCTGATCATCTCCTCACTGGATTTCACCTTGCCCTGGGAAGTGGCCACCAAGAAGTCGAACTTGCTGATTTTTGGTTTCTCGCTTTGGAACTCCCCAAAGTCATCTGTGGCCTCTCTGCGCAGCTCAGGGGAGGCTCCAGCAGGGAAATCATTGCCCAGGGCTGTGTCAGCTGCTGCTGCATCCTGAGCTTCCGAGGGGAGCCTGGCAAAGTCCCCAAAGTCCCCGAGGTCGTCGTCACCAGGACCGGACGCCGGCCCCGAGTCCTTGAAGTTGGCAAAGGGCGCGAAGGGAACGTCCTGCAGAGCATCCTCGCTGGAGAAGGTGGTCACTTTGGAAACCGTGGTCATGGTGATGTTCTCTGAGCTGCCAAAGAAGGTCTCCTTCTTCTGCAGGACGGCGGTGGCGGCGCAGGGGAGCCTCCTGTCCCTGTCCCTGTCCTGCAGGTCCCTGTCGGAGCTCGCCAGGCTGCCGAGTGCAGAGCCACCAGCACAGCTTCCAAACGGGCCGCCCTTAAAGTCATCCACATCTGAAACAAAGCCCCACAGTTAGGAGCTGAACTCCAAACCCTTCCACTCTCCACCGACCTGCTGAGAGCCTGGAGGAGCTCCAAGGACAAGCACAGCATCTCTGTCTCGCTGAGGCTTGAGGTGTGCACAAAAATAACCTGGAAAATACCTGAGCATTTCATACAGAAATTTCTCTGCTCAATGAATCTAAGCCTTGACCTTTGAATGCTGCCTTGCATTTTAAGCTGAAAGTCACCATACCACTATGGTAGTGAAGAAACACTAAAAAAAAAAAAAGTTTCTGGCCAGTCCAGACTGCACAGATCACCAGTTGAGTTTTCTGGCTGCAGAATCTACAATCAAAATATAAATGTTACAACTCAAACACCTTTAATGAGTTGTTTCATCTTATCAAATCCAACCACACAGAAGACTGGGCTGACTTTTCCATTCCTCTGATAAAGTATTAATACACTTTAATTTTATATTCATGCTTTGATACAAATAACATGTAAAAATGTGCTGCAAGGATCTGAAAAAGCCTAGAAATCCTGTTGGAGCTTATCAGGGCTCCTGCAGTGCTGCACGGCCGACTCGTCAAACTTCCAGGTGCCAGCACTGACAGGGACATTGCAGAGCTCATGTTTTAACTGAATAAATAGTTTGTAAAAGCTAAGTCTAGAGAAAATCCAATTATTTTGCAGAAAGCTCCAAACATTTGTACCCACCTGGTGATTACATGGCCCAATAGGTTCTTCTCCCTGCCAGGGGCAGCTGTGAGATCAGAGAGGGATCTTTCACCTCCAGACTGACTCTGATCCCCAAAGGCACCCAAGAGCAGGGCTGGGCAGTTTGCATCAGAGCATCAGCCCCCTCCCCAGCAAACCAGCCCTCCTTCCCTACTTCTGGCTTTGTTTTCCAGCAGGAACTGTCAGTTTGGGTTGCTCAGGGTCTGGAGGCTGCAGGGACAGCAAACCCAGAGCACAGAGAGTTTCCCTGAGCCTCCCTGGGGCTCAGACCCTGGTGCTGAGCAGGCTGCACACTGACAGAGCCACGGGGAACAAGCTGAATTCCCAGCTGTGCTTCCTTCACTGCAGCCTCAGCAGCCCGAGGATGAAACCATTCCAACAAACCAGTTATTGGTTTGTTCATCCCCCTGGAGGGGCACAGCAGGCCAGGCTCCAGGCTGCTTCCCAGGCATGACCCACATCCATGGCTAATGAAAAACCTGACCAGCACATGGCACTGCTTAATGGCCACTGCTGTGGGTCAGTGAGGCACAGCCATCCATCCATCCATCCATCAGCCCCTCCTGGAGCTGCCACTTGTCCTGGCAGCACCCCAAACCCAGAGCTGAGCCCTGCACACAGATCTCCCAGTGCCCCTGGAGCTGTGGGTGAGCAGAGGGTGAACAGAGATGGAAGCACCTGAGTGAAAGGAGCCCAGAGGGGTCGGTGATTTCTCACCACACCCCACACCCTGGGCTCTCACGTCTTTGTTTGAGGAAGGGAAAGGAAAGCTTTGCATGAAAGAGAGAGCCAGCTGTAATTAATGCTGGGATCCTGCACATAGCACCAGCTTCCCCTGACCGTGTGCTGGCTGCAAAGGCCAGCTCAGAGCCCACCTTGCTGTGGTTCTGCAGAGAGGGAGGAGAGCTGGTCCCACCCCAGCAGCTGCACACTCCCACCCCATCCTGCTGGGAATTGTTCCTCTGACAGCTGCTGACACTCTGAGCTGCAAACACATCCTCAAGGCCCAGCTCAGGGCTCTGCTGACCCAAGCCTGCCTCAGGCTCAGGCAGGACCAGCAGCAGGCTCCGGGGGAATCCTGGCTGACCTGCAATCAATAGGGCAGGGAGGCAGAACAATCGTTTAATTATTCACAAAGCAAGGGTCAGGATTCTCTGCCTGTGAATTCAGGCAGACATGAAACCTCTGAAGAGGTGCAAGGGCTCAGGTGAAATGTCATGGTTCAATTCTGTACATTTGATTGGGGTTTTTTTATATAATTCCAGAAGGATCACTCCAGTGAATAAACCTTTTCTATTAATATTATATTACTGAGAAAACACTGCATTCAGAGTCAGTGTTAACAGCTCAACCAGTCCTAAAGCAATTTAGTGAGAAGTATGAAAAATAAGAATGTGGAACCCAAAGTCCAAGTGCCTGACATCACCTGGGGCCAGGTGCACCTGCAGGAACCAGCAAGGGAAAGCACTGGCTGCAAGGAAAGCACAGCAGGATGAAATACAGCTAAAAACACTGTTATCCAGTCCTATCTCATCTAAAGGAAAGCTTCCCACCCCTGATTTGAGCCAACTATAATAATTTATTGCAACTACCAAGGATTAAGTTATGGCTGGAGGCAAATTACGAACTGGAGCCTTCAATGTCAACAGTTTAATCATTTAAGGAAAACCCTTGACAGCATTAGTGCCTATCTGAAGGAAACTGAGACAGACAACTCAGGGACATTGGGATAATTTTGGGGATTTCAGCCAGCACAGGAGACTTTCAGGTTTCTGTATTTGAGTAGATATTGGAGTCTGATGAATAAACCTAGCTCTGGTGCCACGTTTTGGTTGTTAGGGTGACACAGGCGGCAGCTGTGGAGCTGCTCCTGCAGAGCATCAGTGCTGGTACCCTGAACATCCCCAGTGCTGCTACCCTGGAACATCTCCTGCAGCCAGAGCAGCATCAGTTACCCTGAACATCCCCAGTGCTGCCATTTCACCCTGAACATCCCCAGTGCTGCCATTTCACCCTGAACATCCCCAGTGCTGCCATTTCACCCTGAACATCCCCAGTGCTGCCATTTCACCCTGAACATCCCCAGTGCTGTTATTTTACCCTGAACATCCCCAGTGCTGCCATTTCACCCTGAACATCCCCAGTGCTGTTATTTCACCCTGAACATCCCCTGCAGCCAGAGGGGCAGCCCAGGACAGGCCCCACCTCTCCCTGCTCCCTCAGGAAGGGACAGGAGGATGCAGAACAGTTTCATGCACTGCTGCAGCAACCTGAAAAATCCCAAGCCTGTTTCTCAGCTGGGCAAGCCTGGAGCAGTTAACAAAAAGGATTTATTCCCGTTTTCTTTCTCGAAAGAATGGCTGTAGCTAAGGTGGAAAGCATCAAGAATGCTGACTGTAAGGTAAATAACAGCAGAGAAAAGGCTCCAAACCTTGTGGAATTACAGGATTTGCCAATTATTTTGAAATGATTGTTATAAACAACGTTTCACTGCAGAATAAAAGCCCAGAGCTGACACTGGGAGCTCAGTCCCACAGAGGCCCTTGGGAAGGCCATGGCAAACACATCCACACCCTCCCTGGCAGAGCCCTCCTGGATAAACCAGGCAGGAAAAGCTCTTCAGTGTGCAGAATTAACCCAAATGAGGCCAAGGGAGCCAATCTGACTCAGCCTGGACAAAAACATCACAAATACAGCCATGAAGGTTCCTCTGCCTCCTCCAGGAATGGCTGAACAAACACAAACTGCACCTGCAGAATTAGGTCTCAGCTTTATATTCAAAGCTTTGGTTTAAAAACCTTCAGGTCTGGGCACAACCTGGGATCTCCAGAACCAAGGAGGGGTGTTATGTTTTTCTCCCTTTTTCTTTTTTTCCTTTTCAAGCCTCTCCAGTTTGGTGTAAAGAAGAAAAGCCACATTCTGCTTCCTGAGCTGGTTTCTGCTCTTGTGGCAACTCCAAAACCCCAAAACAACATTTGAACTATTCCACATCTCAATTATTTTTAGCTTTTTCTCTTGTCTGCTAATTTGATGCTAATCCCAAGCTGTCAGTGGCTCAGGAGCTGGAGGAATGTGAAGTGACATAATTGCATGCCAAAAATTTGCAGCTGTCATTCATGTTTGAAAGTTTCAGTATTTAAAAGGTAGAACTTCCCAAATGGAAAATTTACTTTGGGGTTGTGGTTAACTCACACTGGATTAGGTAAATAAATATCAGAATATTATTGAGTGGGCTTCTACTCATAAAAGTCTAGACAGCAACACAGTTTCAGTGCCAACTCACAGAAACAACCCTGCCACCACACATTTCCTCCACTCCATCCCCCTCAAACACACATCACTGGAAAGATATTATTGAGGTTGATATGTAAAGATTCAGGAGGTCACAGGGAGGAAGCTCAAAGTGCTGAAGAGGAGGAGAAGGAAGCTCACCCACACCCTGCTCTGCAAGAGAAAGGCTCCCACCACCTTAAGGGGACACCAGAACCTTCAGCTCTGTGTTTTTGAGGAAGCAGAGATACATTGCTAGTTTGCAACAAATCACACACACCCCCACGTTTTCAAAATATGCCAAGATAATATTTATTAACACAGCAGGACTTACAGATCACAAAAGATAGTGATACAGAGGAGCTCGGGAGGGCGGTATCAGAGAAAAGCATGCAGGTCAATACTTGCAGAAGAGAGATATCAAAGCAGATCTGAAAAGGCACATTCACACAGGAAATGTTTAGTTGAAATCAGACATTAGAAAAAGCAGCAAAAAAACCTGAAGTTGATTAAAATATACAGAGAATCTCCAGTAATGGCAAAGAAAAAGGAAGTTTACAGGTGTGTGAGTGCAGCAGATAACCCTTTGAGGGTGCCTGGGGCAGGGCTCCTCTGGCTGCAGCCTTTGGCAGGAAGGACAGGTCAGGCTCACCCAACAGGAGCAGGTGCCCATTCAAACGCTCTCAGCTCAGAGTGAAAGGGAAATTTGGTGTAGAAGCAGCAGCCTGGTTCAAACTAACAGCATGCAGCCAGTGCTCAAAGGGTTACAGCAGAAAATGCAGGAGGAATCAGGCAACATTAGTACAATCCACCTTCCACACACAGAGTTAGCAGCTTAAAGAGACTGTATCCCCTCTGGAGAGAGAAAATCTGGGAACCTTTCACCCCTCAAGAGAGCACAGGGGAAGCAAGCCAAGGATCTCTCCCTGATTCCCAGCACCAGCACCTACCTGCCCATACCTGGAAGCTACAAATGCCAAAGCTCAGAGCCCAGGGACCAAGAGCTCTGTGTGGGCACCATCTCTGCACAAACAGCTCTGTGTGGGCACCATCTCCCTGCACCTCTGTGCTGCTGCTGCTCCCCTGGAGCTGGGACACGGGGGCAGCTCCCCAGGACACTCCCAGCAGGGAGGTGACACAGGGATCCTGCCCCTTTCTGACATTACATTTACAGATCCAAGGAAACGGTGAGGAAAAAAGGAAAAAAAAAAAATAATCTGCTTTTTAGGTTTTGTGTAAACTGAAAAAAAGAAAAAAAAAAAAAAAATAAAGGACTGGACCATCAGCAGTTCACAGCTTGAAATGCATCAAACACACAGAAAGGAACACGTGAGCACAGGAGTGTTTGTAGCAGTGTCCAGAGCACGTCCTGCTACCAAATCCAAACACTTAAATGGAGCTAAACTCTCCCTTTTAGAATAACACCTAACTTGGCACCATAGGAGAATACAGACTTGTTTAAGTTCAATAAAAATAGCTTCTAATTAATACTTCAGAGTTCAAAAGTTTAGCAACAAGCACATGAAGGGCTAACCCCTTTAAACAAACCAAAAAAAAAAGAGGCTTTCCTGCCACAAACAGCAATTATTCACCACGGGCTGCTGTGGCAAAATCACACGTCCTGTAAAGAGCTACAGAAGTCAAACTACCACCAAAAGAGGCTAGAAAAATATTAGGAAAAAGTGCTTTCAAACCCAAAGTAAACATTCAAGAATACACTGTTGGTGCTACGTTTTGCCAGCTCACTCAACTTGGAGTTTTCCCAAGCAGTTATATGAAAATTAAATGTCTTTGCTAATAAATTATTCCTGATATTTTGTACCCTGTTAGAGAGTATCTTCCACATCGAAGTTGCCGACTTAATTCTCTCCCCTACTTAAAAATATCATATAATGCAAAATTACAGTACTGTATATCTTTTCTCTACCCATATCTGCAAAAAATGGAAGAAATATTTCATGTGGAAATAACCAATTCTTGCAGTAAGAGCTTTTACATTTACAGTTTGTATGTTCCCCCTGTTCAGAAAAGCCTTTGACTGCATAAAACTTGTCCTAGAACACAGTAATGTTCCCGTGTTGTTGAAGGCCACAGAACATTTAACTACAGCTTATCTCCTATGTATATATGAAAAGAAAAAGCAGGACACTTGGGAAATTTGTTTTATGATATGTGATCAGGTCAGAGATGGTCAGTTCACTCCCTCAGGAATGTTGTCATAAAGGGAAATTAAAGAAGGTGGAAACCTGATAAAGTGAAAGTCTCATGGTTTAAATTCAGGTCCAAGAGCTCCCAATCATGAGACCAGCACTTGCAGCCCCTTGGCACAATGATTTCCACGAGGGGTTTAACACTGGAAGGTGTGTGAAATACTCTAAACTGCAGTCCTGCAAAACCCTGCCTCCCCAGAGTGAGCCCCACGGTAAGGGGAATACACTGCTCTTGGTGATTAGTCAGCTTCTCATTAACAGCCCCAATTAGTGACCCTTGGGAAGCGCCCAGGGGGAAGTCCCCAAGCCAAATGCTCTGTGGAAAACAAGAGATTAAAGTGAGACTCTGCCATCATCTTGCTGACATAAATGGAATGACACTGTTTGCACTGGAATATTTTCCACTCGAGTCCCTTAATGGCGAACAGGTACCAGTATGATGATGTTAAATCCCAAAAATAAACTGGCCTGGAGTTCAAACTGTTCCAGCTAGTTATATTTATAGTCTTCTAAGACAAAAACTAAAGAGTGCCCTGCTGAGGGGCCGTGGCTGGCGGGGACACACACTGAGGAGTCTTCCACTACTGAAAGACGAGTGCATAATACTGTAATTGAGCACAGAGAACACGGAATCTGCACCACCTACGTTACCAGAGCAATCTAACCAGTTCCTCACCTGCTGCTGGTGGATGCTGGCCACTAACTGTTGGCAAATCCAAAGAGCTATCAGACATGACATGCTTAAGATCTCCTCCCACATCAGCCAGTTTCATGTCAAACTGAACAGACAGCGCGTCTTCGGAGTCCTCCTTGCCCACGCTGCTGCCGCCGATGGAAGGCAGGTCCAGGGATTTCACCGAAGCAGAGTCTTCTTTGGCCTGCTTGAAAGCTGCCACCTTGTCCACCAGCGACTTCTCGGCGCCGCCGGAAGAGAACTTGGAGTGGAAGTCAGCAAAGTCATCGTCGCTCTTGGCCGAGGAGAGCGCGCCGTCCTTGCCCTCCTCGAAGGCCGCCCCGGGGCCCTCCAGGGACAGCTGCTTGAAGATGTCGTACTTGGTGGGCGTAGCAGTGGTGGCAGAGCTCTGCCCACCCTTCACTGTGCTGCCTGAGGAGCCAGCCTGAGCACCAGGGCTGCCCTCCAGCTTCAGTGCATTGTATTTGTCCTCGGGCTTTTGTTCGGAAAAGCCACCGCTGTTGTTGAACGCCATAAAATCTGCAAAGTCATCTTGTCCACTGGCTGATGCGCCGTTAGAAAATTCCCCAAAGAGGTTGAACTCTCCAAAGTCATCAGCTAAGCTTGAAGTTTTGCTGGGTGCTGGCTGGGCAGAGGCTGAGGGAAGGGGTGGAGGGGGAAAGGAGCCCGGCTTTGAGGTGTTGAATGCAGGCGGGAAGGATGGCTGCTTGTTTTCTCCAGGAGAGGAAAAGAGCTCCAAGTCTGCCAGGTTCAAAGGGGTCTTGGCTTGTGTTGGCTGTTTTGGCTGAGCTGGCACAGGAGGGAAGGGTGCAGGGAAGGTTTTGTCCTTGGAGGGTGGCTCTAACGGGGAGATGCTGTCAGCGGTTTTGAAATCTGTGAAACCATCGTCGGCTCCTGTGGGCTTGAACTCTGCAAGGTTCTCTCCTGGGAACGAAAACAGGGAGAAAACAACAATTAAACCCTGCACAACAAGCACAGCACATTCACACCATGCAAGCAAGCAAATGATTCCATGCAGTGCCAGAAGGGTTTAGGCAAACTTTAAATGGAAGCCCTTGGGGCGCACACGGAACTGCAAACTCAACCTCCACGAGCCACACAAGTGTCAGGGGCACTGATTCTGCTCTGCACTCCAGCAAACACCTAATTCTCTCAAATAGCCCCAAAGTCATTTTAAACTCCCTTTACACTGAGTTAATATCAAAACACACCATGGCAAAGGGATTCAAAAGGAGATCAATACTGCCTCATTTGGCTTCCATGCAAGTTGTTCTCCCCACCTCATCCTCTTCGTGTTTGCCGAACAACGAATGTAATTTTGAATTTCACTTATACCAATACAGTGTTTGCTTTTTATGGAAGCAATTCTTCCCTTCCTCCCTCTGAAATACTGCAGCTTTTTCAGGGGGGATCACCAGATGGCTGAGACAAAACCAACATGAGGTAAGAATGTTTTCATTGAATTTACATTCAATATTTTGGTGGGTTAATTTTATAACTTTCTTCTTTTGAACATGAAAACATTGTTTAACCCATTCACCAGCACGTACATACTTGGACTACTTGTAATTTTAAAGTATTGATGCTTACTTTAAGACAAGTGTCCAATAAATAGATTTTTTCTGTTTTAGAAACACACCACTAGCATTTCATTATTAAGCTACCTCAGTGTCACACTTTAAATCAGTTTAACCAAGATTTAAAAGAATACTCTTAGTGATGGCACTACAGGACCACAACTACACCTGATCTTTTATTCCATTCTCCCTCCCCTCCAAACAAATTCATTTGGCTCAGCAACAATATAAATATTCCTGAAATTGCTACTCATTGATCAAAACTGCAACAGCACAGCAAACTAAACTTACTGAAGAATTGCAAACTTTTCCATTAGAAATGGAAGCTGGTGAAAGGGTTAAGAGTGGTCAGACTTTGAAAGCAGGCAAATACAGCAACTTTCTATATTTTAGAACATGTACAGAAAGAGATCAAATGTTATTTCATTTTACTGCAAGCATTTAATCCTGAAGAGGTTCCAAGCATGAGAAGCTCACAAAACACCACAGGGGTTTCATAAATGAATGACTCCTTACTTAAAACAAATTCCAACCACATCATTACTTTAAAATAAAACTCAGGAGCACCCAGAGGAGATGCCAACCTTCCAGAAATACCATCAGCACATTGTTCCGATAGGATATTGCCCTGCTTTTACAAGACACTTCCTACCAAGTTTTTTAGAGAAGCAGCAGCACCATTATTTTAGAACTGCAGAGAGGGAAATTCTGCAGCTCAAAGAGAAATGCTACAAATGATAATGAAAACCCAATAAAGCCCCAGTGCTTACCCAAGTATTTGCTTTCTGCTGGTTGCTCTAATTCCCGGAAAGCGCTGTACTTGTCCCCTCCGTCTAGAGAAGAGCAGAAAAGAAATACATTTACACAGAGAAATGAGGAATTCATACACCAAAATGAGGAATTCATACAGCAAACGTTACATTAATTGCTCTGATTTTTAAAGATGAATATCTTATCAATGCCAAAAAGAAGATATATGAAATTGTACAAGAAATTACTCATAGGGTTGTGTATTTGTCCTTTTACCTCCAAAAGCAGCTGCACTCTCAGAAGGCTTCTCAGCTGCCATTCCTTTAAACACAGCATATTTGTCAGCTGGTGAAAGTGGCTTAGTACCTGGGAGTGGCATTAGTAAAGAAGGAACGCTAAAAACAAAAAAGATAAAAGCAAAGTTCCTTAATTGATCCATAAGAAATCTGCATTTCCAGGTTTTATTTAATGGAGCCTCTTATTATGCCTACACAATTTGGTTCCTAAACCTAAGCTTATGCCTTAATGAGTGTTTAATCCAGCCCCTGATGTAAGTGACCTCAAGCTGGGTAACTTCCCACTTTCTCACACCTAATCATATTTCTTTGGTTCAAAGTCAATTTGCACCGTTCTTGATTTTAATTTCTATCAAAACCATGAACAGAACACTCCAGAACTTTATACCAAGGAATCTGTAGCCCAGGAAAGAACAAACACACAGACACACCCCAGGAACCACTCCTGCTTAATTTATTCCTATGAAAATTCCCCCTAATAAAACTAGGTACAGAAAAGAGTTAAAACCGCATGAGATTTTAACAGCTCCATACTTTCAGCTTATCTCATTCTGATTATATCTCATTACATATTGTAAAATTAGGATAATAAAGTGGGATCACTGTTCAAAGGAAGGAAAATAATAACTCTGAATTCCTGTCAGTGCCAATCAGGTATCTAGTCAGCAAAATAAGGATTAGTGCACAGTTACACAAGCAAGTCTTTTTGCATAAACACACTCTATTTTATCCAGTAAAACTGCCACAACAACCTAACACCTTGTTAGCAGAGGCTGGAAGATTTAGGAGAGAGCTTTGCTTGCCCTCCACACAAGCCCTGTTATCAGACCCTGGCAGCTCCACACAACAGCATCCTTTACATATGAATGATGCATTCTACCTCCAGTTTGTGTCACTCACACTGGAAACCTGAATGAATTTCTATTGCATTCTTCAGCCCGGAGCAAGAATCTTTCCAGAGCCATTTAAATCTCCTTATCAGCAGCCTACAAGCAACACACAAACCAAGCACTTGCACACATGTGCTGATGCTGGTCTGTGCTGCTTGCAGGCAGACAGTGCAACGGCAGAAAAACAGAGCTTATGGTAATATAATTAAATTTCCCATCCCTGCAAAGCAGGCTATTAGATATGCAATCTTGGCAAATGGAATGGTTAATCAGCTGTACTCCACAGATGGCTTTTTTTTAAATAAAGCTCCATAAGCAATTAGATTATAGCTCATTGTAACATTTTGTTCAAAACTGAACGCTTTCACAACTGAATAAAGAGAACTGCTGCAGTGAAAAAGAAACACCATTTTCTGAAATATTTCTTCATGATCCTCTACTTCCCATTGTGCAACTAACAAACAGTTTTCTGTCAAAACTTTCAGTAACAGATTAGCTTCAGCTGCAAAACAACATCTAACACAAGATATACTTAAATCAGCATCTTCAGACCCATGTGGCACTGACTGACATCCCTGGGAGAGTCCAAGGCCAGGCTGGACAGGGTTTGGAGCAATCTGGTCTACTGGAAGGTGTCTCTGGCCCATGGTGGGAGTGGAACTGATGATCTTTAATGTCCCTTCCAAACCAAAACATTCTGGGGTTGTATTTAAAATTATATAAAATATAAAATTCTATTTCTTACACAGAAGCATAAGAGAACAATTGGGTTAAGCATCCCCCATTGATGTCACTGCTGAAGGAAGCACCTGGTAATCAGGGCTCACATGGAATTCAGAGCTGTTTGCCACTAAGAGCAGCCAGCTCCTACCCAGAAAATGTGTCTGTCTACAATCAGACACCTGGGAGGTGCACAAAGAGGAGAGAAGGCTGAAATTTTGTAGTCTTTGTACACCTTGAAAGGTCGACTGTAAACTATCAAAGGGAGGAAACGTTTATTTATTCTGTTATACAAAACCTGCCTGATCAGGAATTACATCTTGTCTCCCAAAGGAAAAACCAGGATTGCTGGAGTCTGAATGATGCTTCAATTGAGATTTATAGTCAGGTATCAAAAGTTCAGGCACTGGCCAGAGAAATGACAGAAACACCAAGGAGCTGGTACCTGCTGCGGTGCTGTGAGCTGGCTGCTTTGGCTGCCTCCCCCTGGAAATCAGTGAAGGAGTCATCCAGGGAGCCAGACTTGGAGGCATCCTGAAACTCCTGGAAGTCATCATCTTCTGGTTTTACTACCTGAGTTACAAACAACACAAGAATTGCTACGCTGCTGCCTCTTCAAACTGTCATCCAGCAAGAAAGCAGCTTGGAGCAGTGTGATTAAGAGGGGGAAAAAAGAAGGAAAAGAACATTTCAACACCAGCATCATCAGCATTTCCACCTTGTCTGCACCTCACCCTACTAAAACACACACAGGATTACAGGGAGCGAGAATGAACAATAGTTCATTATTTCACAATAAATGTCTTATTGATCGTAGCCAGGTCATCTTTTAATACAAGACAAATATTAATAATTTAAATCAATGAATAATTTAAAATTAATAGCACCACAAAAAATATTTTCTGAAGGATGAAGCGTGTCTGCAAACAGCAAATTTATGCCCCACGATTTACCTTTGTAAACTGAAGGTTTTCAGTGTTCTCAGTTGCTCCTGAAACTCCTATTTTACCAGCTATTAGAGTCTGCTGCACAGTTTAACCTAAAATTCCATTTCGTGTGCGTTACAAAATCCTAACTACAACTAAAATCCTCTTTGGAACACAGAACACTTTTGTACCTCTTCTAATGCCACCAGAAAGAACCGCAAAAATAAAAGAACACCCTTAGCGGCACTTCACATTTTCAGACGTCACATGCTGGATTTCAGCTCTGGATTTTTTTGTGCCATTTACTCAAAACCTGTTCTCATATAAGTGTGGAAGAGCCAAGCTAATGTCCCTTGCAGGGAAGGGGTTTGCAGGCAGGCAGAAGCTCAAGTGGCCGGGCGGGTAGAAGGCACTTCACATTTTCAGATGTCACATGCTGGATTTCAGCTCTGGCTTTTTTTGCCATTTAGTTAAAATCTGTTCTCCCCATGTAAGTGTGGAAGTGCCAGGCTAATGTCCCTTGCAGGGAAGGGGTTGTTCTCCCCATGTAAGTGTGGAACAGCCAGGCTAATGTCCCTGGCAGGGAAGGGGCTGTTCTCCCCATGTAAGTGTGGAAGAACCAGGCTAATGTCCCTTGCAGGGAAGGGGCTGTTCTCCCCATGTAAGTGTGGAAGAGCCAGGCTAATGTCCCTTGCAGGGAAGGGGCTGTTCTCCCCATGTAAGTGTGGAAGAGCCAGGCTAATGTCCCTTGCAGGGAAGGGGCTG